AAAGCAAAACATGTGTCAATGATCGTCCTAAGCTTTCCTCTATCTAATTCTCCTTTAAATTATTTTCATTTTATAAAATTTTTTTGTCAAAGTTATATTGCCTGTATCTAAGTCTATTTAGTTAAATAGGAGAGAAGAGAGCTCTTTTTTCTTTAATTTTATCATACTTGATTATTTATATTTCAGTTCGGTGGATAAAAAATATGACTCATTTGTAGATTTTGAGCTCTTAATAGCTGTATTGAATGAATAAAGAAATAATTATTTGTGGTTTAATATGAAGCTTAATTTGTGCATGACATGTACATTCACATGAAAAAGCAGAGGCTTGATATATTCCCGCTAAAAAAGAAGCAATCAACTATTGAGAAGATAATTATGCGTAAAGCACAATTGGTTATGTTATGGCATGAAAGATACAGGGAAAAAAAGTCGATCAAGGAGTGTTGCTTTTACGTCGTTATTGAAGCAATCAACTCATAAAAAGATGATACCAATACTGTAATTGTAATGTATATGCTAGAAAACCGAGTTAGATTGGTATGGAGAGTGTGGCTTTTTTACTGTATTTCATAAAAAGGTCTTAAGGTTACACTAGCTTTGGCGATATTTAATATTATTTTTGATAAAAATCAAATGTTTTTTCAATTATGCAAGTATTAATTAATTTTAGTATATATTTTGTAAAAATATGATATAAAATACACGTGCATCGCACGTGCAGAGAAGCTAGTACTCCTATATAATAATTGATGTTAAATTTTAAATTCATAAATATTACAACTTCTAATACTCCTATATAATGCAATCGTGAATTTAATTTTTTTTTTGAGAAGTAAGATGCCTACTCAAATAAGACGTTTTACTGTAAGAGTGTACTTGGGATATCTTTATCTAGACATTGCTAATACACACATTTATGTCACATCTTATCTTGTATAGAATAATATGTGAACTTGTGCATATTTTACAAATATTTTTTATGCTAGAAATGAAAATGATAACAAATCGATTTTCTGTTAGTGCGTGGGGAAACCAAAGCTAGTTACTAAAAGAGAAGTGTGAAATTGGAACTTGTTGAGGGAGTTGGCCCCAATTTTGCTTCTATCCGTTCCATGGAATACACAAACTCTTTTCTAAAAGATCAAAACTTATGAATTTCTTACGTCAAAGTAAATTGAAGTATTGCTTTGTAACGTCACGAAAGAGTGAAGAAACCCCACATAAATCTCACAAATGGCACTTCTTTGTCCCGAAAGAATAAAACAATATACAAACAAATATCCCTCTGATTCAATTTATGTATCTTAATTTGACTTCTCACGGAAATTAAGAAAGTAAGAAAAACTTTTAATTTTTGTGGTCTTAAAGTAGAAATGTGTATAATGTACCAAAATGCTCTTGAATATTATTGTTTTAAACCTAATAACAACAACCCAGTAAAATCTCACCAGTGGGGTCTGGGGAGGGTAGAATGTACGTAGACCTTACCCCTACCCCGGAGAGGATAGAGAGGCTGTTTCCGGGAGACCCTCGGCTCAGAGACAATAGATCTGCAACAACAAAACCCGAAAAATAATAACAGCAACGTGAGAGACAGCAAATAAATGGAAAAACAGTAACACAAATATTATGCAAAAGTGTGAAACACAACATAAATAGCTAGCAGGGCTAGACAAAACACTATCATACTCGTCGGTACAAAGAGGGAAACCAGGACAAAGGAGAAAACCGCTCGACTACCCTTAACCTACAACCCTAATGCTCGACCTCCCCACCTTCCTATCAAGAGCCATGTCCTCGGAAATCTGGAGCCGCGCCATGTCCTGTCTGATCACCTCGTCCCAATACTTCTTAGGCCGCCCTCTACCTCTTCTCGTACCTGCCAAAGCCAACTGCTCACACCTCCTAACTGGGGCATCTAGGCTTCTCCTCTGCACGTGTCCGAATCCTCTAAGCCGCGCTTCCCGCATCTTGTCGTCCACCGGAGCCACGCCACCCTCTCCCGAATATCTTGTAGACGAGAATTGTTTGTCAAGTTTGTATACGGGATAACGCATATCCCAATTTTATTTTCGGTGAAGAAGACGGTAGAAGTTCCATTTGGGGTTATATTAGTCATGTGAAGAATTTGATTTTATGAGGAACCTTGAGCTTCCATATCCAGCCATAGAGATCTTCATGGCCAGGGTTGCTGTTAAGATTGTTGGCAATGAAGCTATAGGCTGACCCAGAGGAGAATGAGGTTTCAGATGAGTTTATCATTGTCCCTTGCATTAAGTGCTTTGGATAATGGTAGAGATCTCATAAGGTCTCATGGGATAACCGATAGAGTTTAGGTCCCAGATCCCATTACTGTGGACTGTACTGACTTTCATGTTTAAGTCAGTCAGTTGCCAAGGCCCTCTTAAGATAGAGCTAAGAGGCTGCAATTTGGGCAACCAACTATCCTTCAGAAAGTTGATCTTGTCCTCTTTGTGGACAACCCATCTAGAGGCTTTAGTACAAATTCTTCAATGCACTGCCAAATTCTAGTCTTGAGCCCAGCCCATTACAGTGCTTGCCCATGATCACTCTAGCCCTGATGGAACTGGTGTTATTGTACATTCTCCATGCTAAGCTAGTATGTCAAGTTTTATTCTTCATATAAGCTTGTTGCATCCCCCCATGCTCTTTGATTTTGTAATGGTTTCCCAATTAACCATGTGGAGATTTCTCTTTCCAGCACTAGTGTCCCAGATAAAATTCCTTTAAATTTTATCAATTTGGTTGTTTATTTTAGAGGGCAGCTTAATGTACTGCATAACATGGCTGGGGATGCTACTCACGCTAGCTTTAGCTAGACTAGTACGGCCAGCCATATTGAGGAACCTTGTTTTCTAGCCTGCCAACTTGTTGTTAAGGTGGTCTAAGATGAATTACTTGTGGGACTTTTGTGAAAAATGGGAAAGTCAAAGCTGAGCTAGTCTTAATGCCCTGTATTGAGCTGTAGTGATTGGCCCAATCTTCCCTACATTTGGCACTGAAAAAAATCTTGGACTTTAAGAAATTGACCTTCTAGCCAGAGGCATTATTGAAATCACGTAGTGCCCTTAAGATAGTATGGCAGTTCTTATTGCTGGCTCTAGCAAATAGAGTGAGTTCATTAGCAAAATACAAATGAGAGATCTTGGGACCATTCCTGTCTAATGCCCTAGTTGGGTTGAAGAAGTTGGTCGTATTTCCATTAACAAGGACAGAGATGGATCTGGTAGTAATGCATGACAAAATCAAGGTGGTTAGTTTGTCAGGGAAATTAAAGAATTTTTCACACACTTTTTAATTAAAATCTTTTTAAATTCAGTTATTTCTTTAATTGGGTGGAGTTGTTTATGGAGAAGGTTTTAGTCTCTTCACAGATATTTTAAATTATTTATAATTCGATGATCTATTATTAATTGGTTCGAGCTCTTTAACTATGGAGAAGGTTTATTAACTTTTTCGTAATTTTTTAAATCATCTGTAATTCAATGATTTTTTATTGGTTAGAGTTAAGTTACTTTCAAGAAAAACCTGTTAATTTAGAAATTTCCTGTTCCACGCATTAATTGAATTTAGTTAATGTAAAAACTTTGTAAATGAAAAAGAGGGAAATATAATTACCTTTGCCTTTTCTTCAGGTAAAAAACTGTTAACTAGAATTTTCCTATTGAATTAATGGAGCTAGAAAAATTAAATAAATTATAAATGAAGAAAAAATGTAAAAGGAAACTAGTATCTTTTTTGTTTTTCCGTTAAAATCACCTGTTAAGTCAATTAATAATATGTGAAAAACTAAGGAAGGTTTTTAAGGAAAGAAAGCAACTTCAGTCTCAACATGGGAGATATTTGTCGAGTGAATACCCTTTCCAACATGCAGATATATATGGAGACCGGCCACCATGGGAGATATTTGGAGATAATTCAAGAGAATGTTCGCTATTTTTTTTACTCAATTGAAGAGTGAGCATACAAGGGTTCGTCGAACTTGCGCCAACGGGACATGGAAAGGCCAAACACGTATATATTGGTAAGGGAACTGTGGTTGGGTTTAGAAGAAATTTCAAGTTTCATTGTAGTAGTAGTAAAGAACGACAACATAGTTAACAAAATTTGGCTGATGAAGGAGTATTTCGTCGGGGATGATTTCTTTAAAGAAAAAAATATTCCTAAGGAGGATATTGTTGTGTGCCGAATCAAGAAGAATATAAGAGAGTAAAAAGTGAAGGATGACGCAGTTTCTATGGATGAACAAGAGCTCGCTCAAATAATCAAATCTTTGTTGCATGGATCTAATGATGACTACTGCACAACGCAACCCGGGACAGTTTGTCAAGGGAACGAGACTCACAATGAATTCAATGCAAATACAATATTGCATGCACAATATGCGCCAGATGATAATTTGAGCCAATTGTTGATTAATGCTGATGAAGGAAATCAAGTTACCATATTGGAGAACCAAAATAATATGATGTCCATGTCTACGGAGGATGCAACTACAAATTTGACTACCCTGCAACAAGAAGCAACTTATCAACTTTTGACTGCTGAGATGTCAAAAATAGAAAAGGAACGTAGGAAAATTTTCTTTGTATTGATGATAAAATTATTCTGTACGGTGCTTTGTATAAATACAGTAAAAAAAGAATCTTTCAAACAACTGCCTAGTACAGGTGTCCTATTCTAATTGTATATGCTATAACAAACTAATGGATAATGATATATATGGAAAATATTTACAGGTGTTATTTTGGCATGTTTTGTTTCTAGAAGAATTTGTGTAGCCAGCTGGACTCTTGTATAAATTAAAACTGGACCTTTGCTTCAGCTGGGCCTGATACCAGATGAAGCCCAAGTCAGTAGAAACCCAAACCAATAAAGAATCCAACCCAGGCCCAACATCTTTATTAAAACCAAAAAGGAGACCCTTCAGACCAAACACTTAGCTTCCACCGCCTCTATCTTCTTCCTTGGTGTTTCTAAATAAGAGAGTTCTGTTCTTCTTTGTGTTCTTCTCTACTAGCGTAGTTCTGGGTTGTGCACCAACAACCCCCCTTAAGTTGGCGGGGGACGAGAGGACCCCCAACTTGCACAATAGATTGCGATGAATAGGGCCGGTGAGGGATTTGGTAAATAGATCTGCCAACTGAGAAGAAGATCGGACGAAAGAGAGTGAAATTAAACCTGCAAGATACTGTTGACGCACAAAAATGGCAGTCAATCTCCACGTGCTTCGTCCTTTCATGAAAGACGGGGTTCTTAGCTATATGGATTGCAGCTTGACTATCGGAGTGAAGATGAACAGGAAGTGAGATGGGGATGGAGAGATCTTCAAACAAACGTACCAACCAGGTGATCTCGTCAACAACTCGTCGCATGCTGCGATACTCAGCCTCGGCAGAACTTAGCGAGATTGAGGCTTGCTTCTTTGATTTCCACGAAATAGGAGAAGAGCCAAGTGATATGAAGTAGCCACTCACAGAGCGACGAGAATCTGGACAGGAACCCCAATCCGAGTCGCAAAAAGCCAACAACTCAAAAGAGGAAGAGGCTATCATAAAAATTCCAAGACCAGGATCGCGTAACAGATAACATAGAAATCGAAAAGCTGCATCAAGATGAGGTTTTCGCGGGTCTTGCATGTACTGGCTTAAATGCTGGACCGCGAAAGAAAGATCAGGCCTCGTATGTGTTAGGTAATTGAGTTTCCCCAAAAGATGCCGATATAAAGTGGGATCTGGTATGGCAGCACCAAACTTAGCATGTAGCTTGACAGATGGATCAAGAGGAGAAGAGACAGGGCGTAGATGTAGAGAATTGAACTCCCGGAGAAGATCTAGAGTGAACTTTCTCTGAGAAAGGATAAGCCCCTGAGGTTCACGAACAACTTCCATTCCTAAGAAAAAATGTAAGTCTCCAAGATCCTTTATTTTGAACTCTTGGTCTAAAAATTCTTTTAGAGCTTGTAGTTCTGAATTGTCATTACCTGTTAGAAGTATATCGTCGACATAAACAACAACAATTGAGATAGAAGAGTTTGTTTTCTTGAAAAAAAAGAGAATAATCGTTTAAAGAATGAGTGAACCCTTTGAAGTTTAAGGCAATGGTCAGCTTTGCATACTATTGCCTAGAAGCTTGTCGAAGTCCATAAAGGGACTTCTTCAACCTGCAAACATGTATAGGGGAAGGAGACATAACACAAGAGGGAATTTCATATACACTTCCTCATTTAGATCACCGTGCAAGAATGCATTATTCACGTGCAATTGTTAAATTCCCCAATTCTGTGGCATCTGATGGTAGTCATTTTGACTACCGGTGAAAAGGTTTCATTGAAATTGATGCCTTCACGTTGTATATCCCCCCTAACCACCAACCTGGCTTTCAATCTCTCTACACTGCCATCAGAGAGGTATTTTACCTTGTATACCCATTTGCTGGGTAGTGCCTTCTTACCAGGGGGTAACTCAACCACTTCCCAAGTTTTATTGAGTTCAAGTGTTGCAATCTCCTTAGCCATGGCCTCGTTCCAACCTGGATGATGTGCAGCCTGGACATAGCTAATAGGTTCACAAACATTAGATAGGGAGGTGAGCATATGTTGGTTGGTGTGACGACCCGACCCGTCGTCTCATGAGTTACCGCCTCGTTTCCCCCATTTTATGCTTCTTCATGTTTCATCATCGGTATTTGGTGTGTTCGAATTTATTTGGGTTGGTTTTGGTAGGAAATGAGGCACTTAGTCTCTTTAAGGAAGGTTTGGTTTGGAAAAAGTCAACCGGATGTTAACTTATGAGTTAGAAGTCTCGGATATGAATTCCGATGATTTGGTTAGCTTCGGGGGATGATTTGTGACTTAGGAGTGTGATCGGAAGTGAGTTTGGAGGTCCGGAGAAGAATTAGTCTTGAATTGGCAAAGTTAGAATTTTGGCGATTTCCGGTCGATAGGTGAGATTTTGATCCGAGGGTCGGAATGGAATTCCGAGAGTTGCTGTAGCTTCGTTATGTGATTTGGGACGTGTGTGCAAAATTTCAGGTCATTCGGAGGTGATTTGGGTACGTTTTTGATCAAATGCGTGTTTCGAAAGTTTTGGAAGAACTTAGGCTTGAATTCGATGAGAAATGATGGTTTTAGTGTTGTTTAAGGTGTTTTGATGATTGGAGCAAGTTTGGATAAGGCATTGGATCATGTTTGTGTTTTTGGTTGAGGTCCCGGGGGCCTCGGGGTGATTTCGGATGGCTAACGGGAAGTTTTGAACTTAGGAGATTGCAGAACCTGTGCTGCTTCTGGTATTTTCGCTTCTGCGGAAATGGGACCGCAGATGCGGTACCGCAGAAGCGAGTCAAGAACCGCAGAAGCGACATGCATCGCAGGTGCGGAGATGCTGACCGCATCTGCGGAGTCGCAGATGCGACAATAGGACCGCAGATGCAGAATTTTGGAAGGCTAAAGGAAACCGCACCTGCGTAAAAGGAATCGCAGATGCGGGACCGCAGAAGCGGTCTAGTAACCGCAGAAGCTGTCTTGTCCGCAGAAGCGACTCTCAACCGCAAAAGCGGAAGTCGCAGATGCGGCTACGTAGCCGTAGATGCGGAAATAACTGGTCAGAAATGGTTTTATTTCCCTTCGCGAATTTTTGGGTTTCATATTTTCACTTCGGACTTGGAGAATTCGGGCGAGTTGGAGGAGAGAAATCAAGGGACTTCATCGAGGTAAGAATTTCTAAGCCTAAAACACGATTTTATGATGCAAATACATGAATTTAGACTGAAAAATCAAGGAATTAAAGGTCAAAAATGGAGGTTAGGGCTTGAAACCTAAGAGAGCAAAAATGGGAATTTGAGGGGTCATTTGGACTCCGATTTTAATGTTCTTTATATTTATAGACTCGTGGCGAGATAAGGAATCCGTTTATGGTAAATTTACTGATTTTCGAGAAGTGGGCCCGGGGCTCGGGTTTTTGCTTATTTCGGGAATTTCACTATTTTTCGATTGTTTTCGATTGGATATTGTCCCATTAGCATATTGTGATGTATTCGTTGTGGTTTTGGTCAGATTCGACGCACGGGGAGGTTAATTCGAAAGGCAAGGGCATAGCAAGCTAGGACTTTGGCCAGCTTGAGGTTAGTAATAAATGTAAATGCTATGTTGAGGGTTTGAAACCCCGAATTTGCACATTGTAGTGCTATGTTGAGGTGACTTGCACGCCGGATAACGGGAGTGGGGTAGAGCACCGTCGGGGATCGTGACTTGGTCTGTCCCGCTTAATAAAATTACCACCTAATTGATTGTAGTTTTGTGATATCCTTATAAAAATAGATTAATTGTCATAATTGGGCTTCGTGCCAACTACTTGAATCCTTCAGGGATTATTTTACTCGTTTCTTATCATATTTCTAGATATTGAACTCAGTCCTGGTATTTATAGCCCATCCAGTTGGGGTAGTTCAGCCAGTTACTGTGTTGTAAACTCAGCCATTTTTCTAAAAGTAGAAACTAAAGTAATATTTTTATATTAAGTTTGGTCTAAATATTTTTATATTATTGTGCCGAAAGGCTTATGTGATTTTGGACTGAGTATGGGATCGGACTGCACGCCGCAGTGGTATGATAATGATATTGATATGAGGCCAAGGGCCTGATTGAGGCCACGAGATGGCTTATTATTGCGCTTGGGCCGTAAGGGGCCCCTTCCGGAGTCTGCACACCCCCAGTGAGCGCCGTCGACGTTAAATAAATGGAGCAGGCTGCACGCCGCAGCGGGGTACTGGAGAGTACCGGTTTATGTGTTGCATTGCATATTTAATTGCCATTTATTCTTAATCTGATGTGATTTTATTATTAATTGTTTTCAATGTTTACTGTATTATGCTATTGGTTCACGTTGTTGTATTTATAGCTTTGCTTTGTGTTCATTTAGGATTTCTTATCCTCAGACTTTATTTATATTTATTACTTTCTGAGTTGGAAGTACTCACAATACTCCCTGCACCTTGTGTGCAGATTCAGGTGCACCCACTGAGGCTGAGTGAGATCTTCTCCGCCTAGCATCACATTCGGGAGATTCAAGGTAGCTGCAAATTTGCGTTCGCAGTCCTGATCTTCCTTCTATTTCATTTATTTGTTTTCCTTATTTCTAGAAACATTATGTAGTAGGTTAATACTCACGCATTAGAGGCTCAGACTTGTGACACCAGATTGTATGGGCTGAGTAGTATTTTATATTTTGGGCTTTCCGAATGTTAGAATTTATTTTAGGATTTCCGCATTTAACTTGGTATTTTAGTTGTAAAAATTTACTTATCTACTGTGATTAATCGGTTGAGGTTGTTTAAATGGTCGGGCTTGCCTAGCAGTGTGTTGGGCGCCATCACGACCGGGGTTGGGTCGTGACAAGTTAGTATCAGAGCCAGGTTACTTTGTCTCGCGAGTCATGAGCCGGTTTAGTAGAGTCTCGTGGATCGGTACGGAGACGTCTGTACTTATCCTCGAGAGGCTGCAGAACCTTTAGGAAAACTTCACATTCTTGAATTCTTATCGTGCGTCCTTGATTCAGCTTGAAAAGTAACTTTTGAAATTCCTTCCACGTGTTCGTATGCGCGAATGAGCGCTCAGTATCAAATGTGCCTTGGTGGCTTGTGATTCCCCGAATCGAGGGGCGAGATATAATCTCTGTGAGTTTATGGTGGGCCAGTCTGGAGGACTTGAGGTTGGATCTTTGCCTATGGCTTGAGCACCGAGGTGCTGACTGTGTGAACAAGTGTTTGAACCTATATGTTTGGTATTGTGCCTATTAGTGGAAGTAACGGCTGGATAGCTATATGATGAGTATGTTAGTACTGCGAGATGTGTCTACGTGACTTGGAAGCGGTGAGGAAGGTCTACTGGATGATAGAAGAACTATTAGGTGTTTGAATTTCCATCGTGATTCGAGGTATAGCTCCGAGTTATGGGCGCGTGAAGAATCTTTTCATGTTTCCAGTTGAGAGTGAAGTAGAAATTTTATGTTGCGGTATGAGTTCAGACTCAGGAAGACTAAGTGACTGCGTACAGTATAGGACGGTGGAAAGTATACCAAAAATGGTAGTTGGAGGCAAAGCAGGTGGGTCATCTTCTGCGGAGTGATTTAAAGTTGTGTGATCCTTTTGTTATCTATTAGAAGATCTCATTTACAAGTGAAGAAAATGTGTAGACATCTAAATTGGATCGCCTAGAGAGTGGGCTTAACTGTTGCGTGAGTGAATGCGAGATTTGCAGAAGAGTTAAAATTTTTTAGATGATTTGTGTTTCCACAAGCTTATGAAGGATTGAGTTTAATCTCACTATGGTATTAAGGCAGCAATGGAGTATGTGCGTTACGAGTTGTTGGGAGTGTTTTGATCTATGGCTTCGAGCCAAGTTGGGGAGTTCGCTATTGATTAGCTAATTGTACGGTTATGTGCTATGTTGGTTCCGGTTTGAGGCATGCTGGTGAATCAGTTCTGGTTGCGGAAATTGAGCCGAGGATGGCACGAGTGAAGCAAAATTTTGACAAAGGTTATATGGTGCTTCTTAGATGTGTGAGAATCACAGGATGTCTTGAGCTGTTGTTGGTAAAGAATGCTCGGTGCATAGAGCAGGAAGATGCTTGCTTGTATTGTGACGAGGTCATATCCTGCGGTGTCAGAGTGCTAACGAGGCACGGGTGGTTCTGTTCATTTGATAAGGCTAAATGCAGTTAAATAGAGTAAATGACTCTCGAGAATGGTACTAATGTGGTCGAGATTCTACATATGACAATTGGGCATCTTAAATTTGTATATGTGATTAGAAACTGAGTCTCAATTGGGAGAGGTCAAGATGTGCAATTTTTCTATATCAATTGTGGGCTTCTATGTAGCACTATCAGGAAGG